ATATAGATAGATAGATAGATTATAATATAATAAATCTTTTCATGTGTTGCTTTTAATTATTTATTTATGGCTAAAATAACAGTAAACAATGAAAGTATTGTATGCTCATGTTGTTTATTAATAAATAAAAAAATTAGAAACAAAATATTTTACAACAAAAATATTTAAAATTGCATAATAATAAGGCTTTTTATGTGTTACTTCTAAAGATTTATTTTATGACTACAACAACAGAAATATTCTGAAAGTATTGTTTATTAATATCTAAATTAATAAATAAAATAGGAAATGAATATGATAATATATTATAAAATAAATATTAATTACAAGTAAAAAAAAATAAATTCTATATATTTTAATTAAAACAAACAATATTTAAAAATTTATAAAAAAGGCTTTTTGTTAGTTGCTGTTAATGATTTATTTTATGGTTAAATAACAGAAAACACTGAATGTATTGTTTACTCATGTCTTTAAATAAATAAATAAATAAAATAGTTGTAGTTAGATCAAAACATATTTAAAATGTATTATATCATAAAGTTTTTGTTGTTTTGCTTTTAATAATTTATTTTATGGCTAAAATAACAGAAAACATTGTAAACCAGAGTATTGTTAGAAATTGATTGTTATTAACATTTTCAATGATTTGGTGTCATATTGTCATTAATAATCAGAAAGAGATTATTTGCCTGTTTTCTGTCAAATTTCTCCCAAATGAAAAATATCCGACAGCCTTTAATATTTTTTGTAATCTGCCCTAAATTATGAACATTTCACTCATGTCACATTTTGAATTTCAATGCATTAAAATGTATGAGGGAAAACTAGTCAAATGCAGCTAGATTGATCTTCAGTTGCATTTTCTCAGCTATTTTGTATCAGGTTTTTTCTTAGAATTACCCAAACACAAACTATTCTCAAATCACCTGTTCTGTGTTGCTTGAATATGATTTTATGTAATTACAGTAAAGCACATGAATAAATCTACAGACCTGTGAGACAGTGTGTTTGAACACTAGAGGGCAGTGATCCTTTACAGCTGCACTATCCAGGAGTTCTCGTGTGTGTGTGTGTGTGTGTGTGTGTGTGTGTGTGTGTGTGTGTGTGTGTGTGTGTGTGTGTTAATTATTAGAAACCAGTTAAAAACTCTATATAAAATCTAGTTTATAACGTAGAGTTAGAGGTTTGTTCTGAGTATGATCATTGCAGTCATACTGTGTGTGTTGATGGTTCTGCAGGGTTTCTGGTTCCTGTCAGTCCAAAAGCCACCTCCAGACCAGACTTCAGAACTATACATCTGTCTGTCCAAATACATGTCGCACACTATAAAGAGTCGTGTTTCTGTACTTTCACAAATTGTTATTACTGCAGTCATGGTTATGGTGTTTGGGAAGTGTGTGGTTTGGTTGTGCAAACAGGCAGAGAGCGGTGTGTTTGTTTAAGAGCAGATATCAGCTGGGCTGTGATTTCAGATGGAAAACCAGACTCATGTGTTCATGTGTGAGTGATCGTGATGATTTAATGATGTCCATCGCATCACATATAATCATAGAATCTAGTTTTTCGGCGGTTAGGATGCTGCAGTGAGATAAAAACAAGTTTCTCGGCTTCCTGTGCGTCTGAGTGTGTTTATGCTTCAAATCAGATTAATGTTTGTTTTTTGTAAGATTGAATGCAGGTTTTCTAGGTGATTGAATGTCAGTCAGGCCCGAGCTAAACTTTCCTTCTACTCTAACTATTTCTGAGTTTTTGACCTGTTTACTGTCTAATTTCTTGTAAATTAATAGTATTTATAAAATATGTATATATTATGTATATAAATATTTGCATTTATTTATTCATTTATATATTACGATTGTTTAATTAATTAATTAATTAATTAATGCATGCATTTATTTCTTTACTTTTAAAAATGTATTTGATAATTTATAGACATTATTTATAATTAAAAATATTATTTATAAATGACTTATAAATATTATTTATGCATTTATTCACTTATATATTTAGCATTTATTTACTAGCTTGCTTAAAAAAAAGCTAACTGAAAGCTAAATGAAAACCAAGAAATGTGATGATTGTGATGAAATGTGATGGATTTGAGGTTATGAGGTTCATATTTAAATATTTATTTATTTATAAAATATTTATTCATAATAATTAATATATGAATAAACTATTTTTAGTGTATTTCTGTTATTTTATCCATTAAATAAATCATTACAAAACACAAGGCTTTATGATATTATACTTTTTATTTTTTTATTATTTCTAAATGTTGTTAGAAATTTGTATGAATTATTATATTATGAAATAAATATGTATTAATTTATTAATTTGTTTTACATATAAAATAGTTTATTGTATGCGTTTACTTATAAATGAATATATATATATATATATATATATATATGTATGTTAATATAATAAATACATATTATAAAATAAATATAAATATTAATTTAAATAATATACAATTCTTTATTTTTTATTAAAGAAAGAGTTGTATTAAGAATGAGTTTTTGACCTGTTTACTGTCTAATTTCTTGTAAATTAATAGTATTTATAAAATATGTATATATTATGTATATAAATATTTGCATTTATTTATTCATTTATATATTACGATTGTTTAATTAATTAATTAATTAATTAATGCATGCATTTATTTCTTTACTTTTAAAAATGTATTTGATAATTTATAGACATTATTTATAATTAAAAATATTATTTATAAATGACTTATAAATATTATTTATGCATTTATTCACTTATATATTTAGCATTTATTTACTAGCTTGCTTAAAAAAAAGCTAACTGAAAGCTAAATGAAAACCAAGAAATGTGATGATTGTGATGAAATGTGATGGATTTGAGGTTATGAGGTTCATATTTGGGGCTCCATCAGTGTGACTGACAGAGAATTTGAGTTAAATGAGCATGACTAATGTCTTCAAAACCACTGACAGCATTCAGCTCAGGAGAAATGAACAGAAACGGGTCGGATCATGTGACCCGAGAGAGCGAGCGGAGGTGTTCTGGTCTATTGCAGCATAGCATTGCCCTTAAAAGGCAGTTCATTTGATTGGCGTTACGATCCAAACACACGGTGCCAGCTCTGTTTGCACATGCTCAGATCAGTCCTCACTTTCTGTGTTTGATAGTTTAGAAGTTACAAGACACTTGGAAGAGCTGAAGTGATTTATTCATTGTTTGAAAGAGTGCTGGAGTGTTTGAGAGAGAGCACGGCATGCTGGGATATCGGCAGTGTGAGGGCAGCACATGTGAAGTGCGACTCGTTCAGTGGGTCAGTCGGGGTGCGGTTGAGGTCAGAGGTCATCTGCATAGCTGCGGATCAGCCAATAGGAGGCCAGCAGGCTTCAGTCCAGCACTGAGCGTGTCAAACGCCACACAGGAGGATTGTGTGAATGTTTGCACGCTGATCAACTCTCGTGTGGCCGTTTTTGGCCTCTTGTTTTTTTTGCTTCGGTCTGAACTGTTCATGATGTCATTTAGAAGCTTTGTACACACACTTCACTGCTTTAAAACTGGTCCATCATGAAGAAGATGAGATGAAGAAAGTTTGGAGAATGCATTGGTGGCTTTTGCAAATATGGTCGCAAAAGTTGTCCATATGAGTATTTCAGGTCTTCTGAAGATATGCAATGGCTTCTTATTATGAACAAACTGAAGTTTAAGTTGTTATTCACACAATCTTCCCCTTCCGTGAGCTGCTGATCATTCAGTCAGATGAACTCATCAAACGATTCAGTCTGATTCATCAAAGCATCGTTAAGTCCATTCATCTCACTTGTGAACCGAATCAACTGATTCATCACTCAAAAGAATGATTTGTTCACAAATGCTTCTCTCACGGTGTTATTTTAGTATTGTTTACTATTATATTATTCAAATTTATTTTAATTTAAGTTTTAGCAATTTTGTAATGTGCTTTTGTCATTTTATTAGTTTTTTTTTTTCATATTTCTATATAGCTTTAATTTATTTTTATTTAATTTTTGATGATTTTAGTACTTAAACCTGAACTTATTTTATTTCAGATAGTTGCCAAGCCAACATTTCTAATTTTCATGTAGCCTACGTTTTGTAAGTTTGTAAGTTTTTATATGTGTTATTTTATTTCTGTGCTATTATAGTATTTAATATTTTGAATGAGCTTTTATTTTTATATTTTCAGTTTTCATTTTAATGTTAGTTTAAGTCTCAGTCATTTTATGTTGTGCTCTTACCATTTTTATTTATTTATTTATATTAAGCTTTTAACATTTTTATTTAATTTTTATAATAATTTTATTATCTTATTATTAATTGTATTTAATTTAGTTGACAAGCCAACATTTCCAGTTTTTGTTTACATACTATTCATTTTTCATCCAATATTTATATTTTATTTCATTTTAGCTATATTTCAATGAAAGAAAACATTTTTATGCTTTTTTATGGATTTATTTTTAGTTAACAATAACAACACTGTTCTCTCATTACGTCTTTAAAAAGAGCTAGAACTGATGTTCAGAAACTAAATATTGGTCTGTTTCTTGCTCAAAACTATCATGACTGCAGATGACTTGAGATATAGTGCACAAATTGAATGGACCACTTTTGTTCTTGTTTTATAGTGCTTTTTACACCGTAAATGCTTCCGTCACCATATATTGTAACTGCATGGAAAAGAGTTCTTCAAACTTTCTTTTGTGTTCTCTGCATGAAAAGAAAG